CACAATACTGTGGCTTATCCATAAGGTGCATAATGTACTACACACACCCAGGCTCACATTGAGATGCATGTTCAACCGTGGGAATGCATTGTGTCAATGTATGACGTGTCAATGTTCATTTTTGTTTTGCACACACACCACCATGGCCACTACCCGTGTCCTCAATACCCCTGAGCTCCTCTCCCTCATTGGCTACGCCTGCTGCTTGCCCTGGCAGTACTACAACAGAGATGAGGTCCACGGTGACTCTGACCTGCATGAGGTCCTTGCCTTGCGCACGGTGTCCAGGGACTTCTACCACCACTTCTCCTGCCCCTTTCCCCGCACTGCACTGAGCATCTGCACGGCCCATCAACTCCATACCCTCTTCTTGGATGTCATAGCATTTGAAGAGCACGGGTGTCAATGTGTACTCAGCGGTGGCGATCCACGGCGTGTCCACATCAACTTTCTCAATCTTTATCTCCTGGAGGTCGACTTGCACAATGAGACCGACAATGGCCCTCTGCTCTGGGACATTGCTCAACGTGCCACACCATATATGACAAATTGGACAGAGCTCAACATCGTCATCAGTGACAACTCGTCCACAACAATGCTGAGCCGCGCTGGACACTGGTGGAGACCCTCCCTCTGCCGCATCCAAACACTGCGGCTCAAGGATGAGTGCAACTATGGGTTGGGCCAGTTTGTGCGTGCATATTTTCTTGGTCATGCTTAATTACTGACATTTTTGTAGGGTGTCTCTCACCTGTTTGGGCCATCACCTTGGGACTCCTTGCCATGGCTCCTATATGCTCTTGCCCCCTTCCGAAACCTTCGTACCCTGCTCATCGACACTCCAGCTTTCCCATACCCCGTCCCCTTCGACATCGACCTTGATACCTTTGCCAATGCAGCAGACTTGGGCGCATTCTTGCAGGCCTACAATTTCACTCCCCACGACATCTTAATCCACACACAACTCCTCACCACCCTCCCACATCTCCGACACTTCTACCTCCAGTACCTGCACTGGCGGCCACTTGGCATTACCTGGGAAGACCCACAGGGTGGCACCGGGTATGGCCGCATGTTCCACATCCTTCAACGGCCTCTGAACCCAGATGCACCTGTTCAATCTGGAATCAACAATCTGGACCATTATGACGGCCAAACCTTCGACACTGACCCCTTTTCTGATTGGGTTGGTCCATACACTCCCGACCCCTCCGACCCACTCAGTCCTCAAGTCTATGAGCATCCAGTGCGCATCTATGCCTCCATTGAGGGGCCTACTGTCCGGTAAATACTTAATTCAGTGTTGTTGCTTACAGCTTATGCTAACACTGTCTTGACAGCACCAGCTTGAGCGGTAGTACATAGTGTGTATGTACATATGTTTGTGTTTGTTTGTATTTGAGGTCAGTGGGACATGTTGAATTTTGTGTGAGAAAGTTGTGTAAGGTCAACTACACAAGCAAGCTGAATCTTGAATGCTAGTGAGTGTATACCTACCTCTCCTGGCCCAGCGTTAATACCCACTATATAATATGACTCAGGAATCATTGAGCTGTGGATTTGTATAAACATGCAGTGATTTATTATGTATATCAAATCCAAATGCTCTTAATAACAGTCTCAAGCATTTTTAAAAGTTGCTTGCATCAAAAATACTAAAATATGTGTATGTAAATGCTTGCAAGATGTATAGACTATATAATTGCCAGAATAAACTTAGTTCCGCTTGATATATCAGATTTGTGGGTTGATGTGCAGTTCAAAAAGCCATTGAGCATGAAAATGATGGAATTATTTGATGTGATTCAATAAACAGCATTGTCACAAAGAAAGAAGAGCATCTAATCATGTCAATTGTGTTTCACATGAACATATGCCAACTGTTTACTCTAAGGCTGAGCACGGGTCCAGGTCTATGTCCGGGTAGAGCCGGAAAAACCCGGACCCGGACCCGGGAAGAGCCGGATCCGTGGATCCAGATCATCCGGGCACCGGGTCATGCCCGGATCCAGGTTAGGGTTTGCTACCTGGGAAGACCTGGCCCAGATCATCTGCTTGCCTCACACCACTAGCTTTATTCTCAACTTTGTCTATCTGGGCTTCATATATGCTGCTCTCTGGTACTCCCTGATGGCCTCTCACTGTTTGCTTCCCTAATCTCATGCTTAAAAGCCTCATCTGATTGAAACATGTCTAGTGAGGGCTCTCATAGCTTCACAGATTACCTGATTCCTTAGCCAATATCAGCGCGATTGCATTGCAAATGGACGCGTTTTGCGCACAATCCACGGGCCTTCCAGGATCACGAAGGTACGTCGCGATACGTGCAGTTTTGGCGTCTCTATGATGTCTTTTGTACCGCTGGTGCGTGTGTTTCATTAATGTTGTCATAGCTCACTCAAAAGGTTCTCAAATCACTCCATTTCCACTTTAACATGTTCCGGGATGCAATCGTTCTCCGTCGGTGCCCTCCGGTTTCCAATCTGTCCGCTACAAGGAGAAGTACAATCAAGTCAACATCCAACTTTTGGGCGGTTTTGTTTTTGTCATAGCGCAATGAGTTGTCAATCTTTCGTTTCGCCGTTAATGTCGTTATGACCGGGTCATTCACAGCTTTCGAATGATGTCTGTCACGCGCCAAACCGTCCACAGAATCCCAAGATATACACATACCCTCCTCCTCCTCCTTCTACCTTCCTTTCGCCATATCTCGACCATTACACCGTCTATGGACTTCATTCTTGCTGATCGTAATTCATATGATCACTATGTACATAACAAGATAGTTAGTGTTTCAAATTTGATCATTCTCAAATTTCGCATTTTGGCAGGTTGACCCACAGGTAACCTGGATCCGGATCTGCGGATCCAGGTGATCCGGGGTCCGGGTCAGGCCCGGATCTGGGTCGGGCTCCATATCCGTGAAAAACCCGCAGGTCCAGGTCCAGATGATCCACGGATCGATCCGTGCTCAGCCTTAGTTTACTCACTGTCAAAACACTTAAATCATGTCTTTCATTTCAACTAAATGTGCTACTAACAAACTATCCTCTCATCAATCGTACCTGCCAGTCCATGGCCCTCTCCACCCAAGTACAAGACCACATTTAGTGGCAGGGGAGCTGTGCTCTGTGTTCCCCTGCCACAGAATGTGGTCTTGTTTGGTCCCCATCACAAATGTCTCAATATCTTGGCCCCCCCTGGTCCATATGCCACAATATATATATTGACAGAAAGCTATGGATGTGCGGAGTCTATACATTCAAAAATAATCTGGATGTGGCCAGTGCAGCTACCACTATTCACAACACCAGATCCTATCAGTGCCACAATTGGAAAAAGCGCCCAAGACACATGACCTGATGACATCATTGCCTCACCTCCAAGTGTGATATACCACCAGGTTCAGAATTGTGATCTCTATTTGATGTTGCTGTTTATATATTTATTCAATGAACCTTGGAGGAGCTCAGACTACTGTAAATGCAATATCACAGCTAATATGCACTATTGGACCATATATGGCAATCTGATCAAGTATGAGGTTATATAATTATGCTGAGAAAGTGTGTTTCATGGTGCAATCCATGTTTGAAGACATCTGATAATCATGGAAGTGCCTAAAAACATTGTCTTGCTGAATAATACCTGGTTGCCATTCAAATGGAGGGGATATTGTGAGCATTAGAAAAATAATGTATCAGGAGTAATTTGAATCTGATGAACAGGATCAGGCCATTTATCAAAGGCCTGTTCAATAAGGGTCACAAGCAAGGTATGTCTGATCTATTGCATGCCATAGAAGCAGCTACAAAGATAGATGTCTTGCTGAAAATTTCTGAACAAAATCAAGTAGGCAGTGGGTATGGGTAAACTCTTACTTAGAAACTGTCTAGGGCTTCAATAAAGGCCAAAAATGATAGAGAATCAACCTCAATCAACATGTCAATTAAATGACTGTCATATGGCATAAATAACACTGCACTTATGGTGTCAATATGGCTCCATTTGCTGATGTGGCTAGGTTTATAAAAACAACCGGTTGATGCTAGAGATTGAAAAATGCTATAAGAGTGTCTTTTGCAGAGTGAAATGACCAGGTGTGCAATAAAATGGAGTCTGGGTTGAGCTGGGTTATTAAATGAGGACATCTTGTTGGAGGGTGAGCACTGCCACCAAGCACATGTGAGCCCATCGCCCAACTGTTTGCTCTAGGATGTATTGCTGCTTATGCAAGATCTGGTATTCCTACTCACCTGACAAAGAACTGACTAGTTCATTCCCTTATACTGTACTTGTAGAATAGCTTGAATATATGCAGTGTTAAGTGAATGCTCATTGTCTTTTCCCACTCATAGCTTTGTTTATTCAACACATCTGCACTATGGTGAGATAAGGATCTCCAAGTGACATGTGGTGTTATAGCTAAGTACCCTGGGCAGTTCAAGTAAGCTTGGATCATTACTCTGTGCCACAATATATGGAATATTGTGATGTCATCATACTATACCAGTTATATCAGTGGAAGAAATTCCTAATGACATTTGTGTTGTGCCTCTCTGAAAGCATACATGTCAGGTTGTATCAAATCATCCACAATATCAAATACTGCATATTTGGATGCTTCAGTATCATAAGAAGGCACTTTGAATAAAAATGGGAGTATTCTTTTGTAGATGATAGTAGTGGAATTGATTCAAAATCAATGCATGCAGATGATCTGGATTGTTCAAAGTCTCATATCTACTATATTATAAACACAGTGTCTATAATTTGTTCTGTACCAGATTTGAATGCATCACTAATCTAAATTATCAGTCCGACTATATGAATATACTGCAGGATACATACCCTCATCAATCGGACCTGCCAGTCATGGCCCTCTTCACCCAAGTGTTGTTGACGTACACCCAGAAGCGGGTGTTGTAATTCTTCATGTTCCCGGTCTTGACTTTGGTCACCCACGTGTCACCAAGGTACAAACGAGTACAAAAGCGCTGTTAGGATGTATACCAAGTCATGGCCTAGTTAGTTTGATGGTGTGTGGTATGAGGGCATCACATGCACTGCGTACCAAGAATGCGATGCGCGTGCACAGCTGAATTGTAACTGTGATGTTTGCGCTGATTTGGCTCTTGCTACTGAGGGAGCTGGTGAGGTACTTGCAGAGCTGATATATATGGAGTTTCCCACCACATATGGCCGCAGTCTTGCCGGTCTTGGAGTCTATGTCCATGGACACGATGATCTGGAAAGGTCGAAACCGTATCAGCAGATGTGCGACATCAACAGAATGCGCGTAGTACTCACCGCTTTCTTGATATCAGACTGCCAGTTTATTATGAACGACTGGCTGCTTGCAACTATGATCGCCCATTTCTCTTCATCTTGACGATGCAGGTTCGCTGGGAGCCCCCATTGCTGCTTGTCAACAATGCACTGTGAAGATGGTATACAGAGCCGTGTCAGAGGAGCAGACATTCAGCTAAATCCGGCGACAGCAGCAGTCGAATTGTGAATTTGTTCATGTTTTTCTGTCCGTTGAAATGAATTAGCAGTGCACCCAGTGAGCGCGCACCTGTAGGGCAAATATGTACAAGGACCCTGTCGGACGGAACCCAGGTACGTTGAGGATGGGCAACAGGGTGCTGAGCATCCATGATCACGAAGATCATGGCCCCCAGTGCTGCTTTGCGTTCATCCGGGCCAGCCTAAGGAAAATTTTCAGTGAAGCTGCAAGTCGAAAACAAAGTGCAACTCACCGAGCACCATTTTATAAACTTGTCCTTGGTCTCTCCCCAAAGTTTCTTTGCCATGATCTCCTGGTCTGCGTACTGAAGCAGTGTCGCAGCCCGTGTCGGAACCAGCATTGGGGTGATGTTGCCGCTGATGGTGGACATGGCAGTGGCGGTGTTGTATACATCAGTGCCTGAGCTTATGAAAGGGTCCAACTCCTGATTATCGCTGTTGCGGAGATCAACGTCCATGCTTGAGGTATCTGACGAGTGCAGCCCCAAGCCAGGCTCGAGGCCATTCCCGTCAGTATACATGGCCGCAGAGAAGGTGATACCGCTTTCGGGCTGAGCAGTGTTGCCATGCAGGGTTGGGCTGCCTGGGAGACGACCCGACGGAGGAGTCGAGACAGATCGTGACAACTGGCTGTTCTGAACTTGAACCCTGCTGAAAAATTCGCTGATAACGGAATTTCCAGTGCCTCTACCAGTGGCAGAGGCGGCGGTGTGCTCAGATTGCAAGTCCATGTTTATGATGGTGAATGGGGGTGGGGTTTGGCGTGGGGTTTGGCGGTGAAGCTACTTGATGGGGATAAGAGTGACCATGTCAACAAAGGCGGACATTGACGTGGATGGAAAGGTGAAAGGTGACTGCAGCGAAATGTGACTCCCCAGTGCGCTGGTGGTGTGTCCCAATCTGGACAACCAAGCGGTGCAGCACTTAGAACCTCGACGAACTTGAGGTCTGTCTCAAGACTCACGCCATTGTACAGCTGCTCAATCATGCCTATTCAAAAGCGCAAACTCCCTGCCGGTGCGTGAGCACCTGAATCGAGCACCTGGCGATGGACTTACCTCGAGTTATGGAGCTGCCCTCAAGGTCTTGAAGATGCACCTGCGGGGAAGGTATTGTGTCACCCATGCTCCAAGAGCACTGCCGGTGCTTCAGGCCAGGTTAGATTGGCTTGAGGGAGCATCAACAAGCACATAACATCTGAAACCCATAAGAAGTCTGTCCCACGGCATAATGAACAAGACTCACGGCGCAGGAGATGTCGATGAACGACCTGCACTTGACAGTGTTGATTGGTCGTCCGACAATGACGAGCTTGATGCTGACGACCCAGTGCTCATGCATAGTCTCCGGTTGGTCGAAGGGATGCTGAATGTCATGGGTAAGCTTCTTGTGGTAAATAATCTACTGCTACTGCTGACTCACTTGCTGCAGAGCTCGATGCCAATGCTAATGGTGATGGAGAGGATTCGGAGGATGAGCTTGACAATGAAGACGAAGAAGCACTCCAAAACACGGGGAGCGCGCTGTCAGACCTGATGAGCGCGTGGTATCTATATCCAAACAAGCTTGTATGCCTGCATTTGTACACCATTCCGAGTGCTCACTCTGACCATATTTGCTTTTCGAAATGCAGACTTGGAGCAATCTTGTGGTTGCTGCGACAACTTGGACACCTGGATGTTCCGAGTGTGAAGGCATTCCAGAAACTCCAGGAGCATGTCCGCCCAGCTACAGCGCTCCCAACTGTTCAAAAGCTGACACCTACAGGCAAGATATTCTGTCGGAACCATATACCAAATCGGCAGCCTTTCTAACTGCCCCACCAGCCATTGCAGAGCCTCTGCAATGTAGTGCTGCCTGACATGGAACGTAGTGCACATCCATTGTTTCCATTGGGTTGACATGCTGACCCCAATGAATGTGACAGAGATGAACCATGCAAGTGGCATCTTGCGGACTGAGGTCATACATTGAGACCATCCCTCACATGGCACATTGTAGGGTGTCCTTCTCGGGGCTCCAGGTGGTGCCCTTCAGGTACAGCTTGAACACGCACGTAGACACAGGGGTAGAGATGGGCAATGAGCAGCTGCTCAGGAACAGTGAGTGTAGATAGCTGCCATTGGACATGTCCTATCCCGAGTTTGTTTGCTAACAAGAGCCTTGAGGGAAGGGCAGAGTCTTGCTTCAGGTGCTCCTAACAAAGTCTGCAAGTAGACAAGCAGATCACACCACTCTCCAACTTGTGGACCTCCGCAGGCTCCAAGAGACACCCCTCATATAGGTCGTGGGCAGGGTGGACTTGTTGCGGCCACAGCAAGGTGTTTCCAGGGAGGTCAGCAAGTGTATGCTCTTTCACTCCATCTGCACTCAGGCTGACTTTGCATGCTTAGACTCTGCAGACCATGTGGGCTAGTGTGATGTTGATGTTGGCCTTGAAGAACTCAGACGTGGTGGATTTCGCCTCTTCCTCGGATGGCAGCAACAAGTACCAGGAGCTGCTGTGAGATGCACATGATGCATGAGTCTTGCTTGTCACTCAGGTCGGGAATTTGTCCGCTAATTACCGTTATGTAGCATGATAACACCTGGCACATTGCATACAACTGCAGTATCAAGGAGGAGGTCATGCTCAGGGTAATTCCGGAGGTGTTGCCGGCAGATAATCCTCAGCAGTCTGCATCATGCTCGCATGTGGGTTTGCATGGCAATCATCCCTGTAGACATTGCGAGTTTGGTGGTCTTGAGCTTGAACGCGAAACGGATGAGGGGTATGAAAGTCACTTCTCGGTCAGTGTGGTTGCTTTTCCACATGCCTTCAGGAGCTCATGCAGTGTGCCGCATGGCACTACCTCAGCCGGGGACACCACGCGTACCGCAGCGGAGACACTGGCTGCCGTCTGCGCGCAACTCCACGCAGCTGGCCTGGGTGTTGCAAAGACGGTCACTGACATGCAGACGATGTCAGGGATCAAAGACCCTCTTGCGGCGTTTTGGGTCCAACAGCTGATCGTGCCTGCTCACGAGAAGCAGCAAATCCGGATTCATAATCCCACAACTCGCGATCCACGGTTGAATGTGCAGCGGATGCTCAATTGTGCCGCGGTCATTCGGGAGATCGAGAGAGAGATTCAGGACGAGCTGATGTGCTGGCTTGTCACTCAGCCCGACGCAGATTTTCAGGCCCTTGCCCCCAACTCACATACTGGTTCTCGACCTTATCAAATATCCTTCGCAAAACTGATTTCCCTTGTATGTAGCGCTGCGTTTAGAACTCCGACCAGGTGTGCACTTCAACTCGCTCCTCTGCGTGGAGAGTGAGTGCATATATGCATGTGCTGCAGCTTGTTCACTAACTAGAGGTCACTGGCGACTTGTGGAATATTCAGGTCTCGATGTTCATCGGGATACGCCCATGGAGCTTCTCCATACCTACCTCCTTGGTATCAAAAAATACTCCTGGTACCACATCCATAACCCGTGGACAGCATCACAACATGAAGCATTCGCCACCCAACACTCCCAACCAGTATAGGGGAGGCTCTGCCCAGATACTCAGGGCAACCACCATCCGAGACTTCCGCATAGGTCTCAGTACACCACAATCTCCCACACACCACCACACAAGCAGTTATTCAAGGATCATAGCCCGCCGGGCTTAGTCACGAACTCGGCAAAGCCACTGTTGGAAAAGCAGGAAACCCCACACACTTTGCGGCAGCATCAGGGAACCAATATCGCCCAACCCCTTACCCCTTTTTTTACCTATCAATCATCTGATTCCCAGATAGCATACAACAACGGGTGCTCATCTTGTCGCAGAGAAGGCCTGGGGTGAAGATGATGATGGGAGAGCCAGTGGGGAGGTCAGACATGACAAGACGAGCATGCACTGGTGCTCGTCTGGTGGCAACAGGGAGGATGTTTGATGAGCCAAGCATGTTTGCATGCTCGACTTGTTGCGGCCAACTGGTGCATGTGGGTGTTTGGGAGTGTTGGTGGGTGGGTTGTGCATAGTGATGATGGTGCAGAGAGAAGGCAGGGATGGCTATCTGGGCGGGCACACAGAGGTGCTCGCCTAGCGGTTCTCAGTATATTGTAGTCTATCAAAGTAATACATGACTCAACACTGCTCAATTTTGTGCCCATGATATTGTCCTGCAAGTCTTCAAGTGTTTTCCTATTGATGGTGAAGTGAGACAGGTGGGTGGTGGGTGTGTAGTACAAGGATAAGTAGCGGAGAAGGCAGGAAGACATGGATTAGCGCGGACTACTAATGTTGAACGGCCTTAGCTGAATGCAAGTCCCATTGTCTCCTGGAATTCAACTACCACTCTCCCTGGCATTTGACTCTTCCAGCTCTCACTCTTCTGACTCCATTATGTCTACTAAAAGCCTTTTCTAGTTCCAGGTGCTATTATTGGCATTCTATGACTGAGAATCATCTGCCTCCTGTTTGCCCAGCCCCCCTTAAGCCTTCCTCTTGATGACCCAGTGTGTCCCCTTACTTTTACGATTGATGAGGAACAAAGAAATCATTTCTTATGCAGGGACTTTCCTGCCAACTTGGGAGCCTATACCGCTCAGGATGATCAGGCATGTGTATGAGGTGATGCGTGCATGGGAGGACTCTGCCAAGATTGCCGAGGAAGGGACCACCAAAGTCATGCTCGGACTTTCAGGAACATCCAAGCGGATCATAGCACTGTCACCTGTGCAGGATTATATATGGCGACACACTGAGTATGAGCATATGTCACTATATGACTGGGTCAGACTGGCAGACAAGCAGCGGATCACATACCGTAAAAAGGGCCCCAAGAAATCTGAAGAGGATATTAATAAGCAAAGTGATGTGGACTCGGAGTTTGAGGACAACTATGATGTCAGTGCCAGGCAAATTGACTCTGTGTGTGGGCATGCCAGTGATGATCAAGATCAATGAAGCAACTGAATGCTGTGTGACCAATGGAGCAGAGGGTGTGGTTGTTGGCTGGAAGTCCAGACCCATCAGTGAGGACAAGGAAGCCCTGGAAACTCTGTTTGTCAAGCTCACTGCTGCACCTACCACTGTGAAATTGGATGGATTGCCAGAGAATGTGGTGCCCATCAGCCACCAGTCACGCAAGATCAGGTGCAAGATGCCCAATGGAAATTTCCTGTCCATTTCCTGTGATCAGGTATCAGTCATTCCCAACTTTGCCATGACAGACTTTGGATCCCAGGGACGTACACGGCCACATAATGTGTGTGATCTGCAAAATTGCCGCTCTCACCAGTCAATCTACACATGCCTGTCCAGAGGATCTACATACAATGGGACCATTATTGTGCAGCCATTTGACCCAAGAAAGCTGACTGGAGGAATATCTGGAAGTCTGCGCCAGGAGTTCAGAGAGCTGGAGTTGCTGGATGAAATCACCAAGCTGCACTACCTCGGCAAGATCTCACCCAAAGTGAGAGGCATTACTCACAATGGGCTTGTTCATTCATTCAGAAAATGGAAGGGAGAGCAGTTCATGCCAAAGACAATGCACAGGGCCCTGAAATGGAATGTTGGTGATACATTCCCCATGGAAGATGTGCAGGCAGATGATGCTCCATGGCCGATGGTCGAGAAGGCAAAGCCTAAAGACAAGAAGCAGCCCAAGCCAGATGCACCTGATCAGCCAAAGAAGACAGCTGGATATGTTGCAGCCCAGGGCACACAAGCTTTGACAGTTGTGAGCAATACAGTGGACAAGAAGTCGGTGAAGCGTAAGCGAGAGGATGACTGTGATGCAGTGGGTGCCAAGAAACCTCGTGGTGAACAGGTGCATGCTGCGGTCAATTTCATTGGGTTCAAGTGGGACAATGCCAACTACAGCTGTGCTTATGACAGTCTTCTGACTATTTTGCTGTCAGTCTACCCAGAGTGTAAGCAACAGTGGCAGACAATGGTACCTGAGCAGAATGCATTATTGTCAAAGCTTACTGGTCACTTCAGCGGCAATTCTGATGACATAATCAGCTACACAGCCACTATCAGGCAGTCAGTCAGGGATATTCTCCATGCTCAGGATCCAGTCACATATCTCCATGGCCCAGTGGGAACTGACATCTATGCTCTTGTGCGTGAACTGCTGAAGGCTTCTGAAGACACTCAGTCCCAGTATTATTCCTGTCAGTCCTGCCATTATTCCAGTGAGTCTGAGGGTGCATGCAACATCCTGTGGGACACATCCAAGCAGATCTGGAAGAACAGCCTGTACAAGGGAGGGTCATACAAGGTCAGAGTGTGACTGCCTGGATGGGTTCCATCTTCAATCAGAAGACTTCTCAGATGTGTCCCCAGTGTGAGCGCACACTCCATCAATGCATCAGATATTGATGAGCCTCCAGCATTCATAGCACTCAATATTCACAACATCAAGGCAGACATTTGCACTGAAGTCACATTATCCTCTCCAGAAGTAGGTGCGGAATTTGTGACTTTTGTATTGGTCTGGATGCTTGAGCAAATACATGGCTGCCATGGGTCCACCAATTTCAGAGCATGCAGTCAGCGAGTTTACTATTTTGGTGATCAGGGACCGGGCCTTCTCTTTGGTAGACTTCTGACTGCCCAACAGCTCCACATTGCGCTCAAACACCTGCTGGATAGACTGGAACATCACATGGGTTTTAAGTGGGGTTTTTGTTATGTAATCAGCAACATAGGCTATGACAGACTTGATGGCAGTGCCCGACAGCAGAGAAGTGACATCAGTGTTCCCGCACATGAGATAGGTGACTGCGTGGGTGATGGTGTTGATCCATGCCTCTCCCTTCTTCATGATAAGTGCACCAGTGCTTGGGTCTACCACAGTCTCTGGATGGGTCTCTCTGGGGAACCAGGCTTTGCAATTTCCATTTTTGTCTGTACAGCCACGATTATCAAATCCAGGTTTGTCAGATTTATCCAGATCAGCCTTGTCTTTCTTTGAGGATGCCCGGCATGTATGCCTGTTGGACAGATACAATATTTCATCCACTGTCTGCTTGAATCTGATCCACCAGGATGTATGCTTCTGACACTGATCACAGTCTGATTTGGTGGAGTGGTCGCACTTCTTGGGTGGTGGCTCTGGCAATGTCTCTGTGGGTGGGACCCTGGATGGATTTTTGTGATCTTCCTCGGCTATGTTCTGCTTCACACTCTCCATGCTGCCTGTCATGAATTCACCCATGTGCACACTCTCTAGATACTCCACCATGGCCTTCTGGAAGTCTGAGTTTGGATCCATGATTTTATCTCGAATTTCCTGGGGTGTAAGGGAATTTTTGATCCAAATAAGCATGTGCATGTGCAGTGTTAGCCGACCCTGTTGCTCCACTGTCCCATAATATCCTGATGTTTGGCCATACAGCCCTGGTCTGTCCAATCCCACCCCAAGAACATGCTTGATAAACAGATCCACCATCATTTTGAAGAAGCGTGCACCCGCCACTGGATTATTTGCAATCAACCGCAGACACTCATTCTTGTCTCTGAACTCAGGTACAAATTTCAGATTGGTGTCTGCAAAATACAAAGCCACAGGGTGCTTGACATCAGCAGGAGCAAAGGTCACAAACCATGAAGGTGCACCAAGGTAGGAAACTAATGACCATATCTCATTGCGCATATATTTTTGCTTGTGATAGACCCCTGCACCTTGTAATTGACATGATCTAGGTCATTCAATATTTTGAAGCAAGCCTTTTCATCTTCAGTCTCTGGTTTCATAGACCCAGTGCTAAGACGCTGAATAATGTCTGCCAAGGTCGAGTCTTTGATATTCAGAAGCCTGTTGGCTATTTCACCAAACTTGTTTTTGTCTGCCAACAAATATCCTGCTGTGGTGGATTTTTTGATCTGCTCATGATTTAATGCAACCAATGGAAATAATGGCTCTAGTTGAAAGCGCTTATCATGGTACATCAGAAGCTGTTGCTTTCTCCGCTCTTCAGAGACAGGCCGACACCCGCTTGCAGAATTGTTCATTCCACCTAAGCCATATGGGAATAACCATGGGAACATCTGAGGATACAGCTGAGGATTGTGGTATAAACTCTCTGGCTCTGCAAATTGACCAATGCCACTTGGCTAGAGAGGGCCATAACTGGCAGGTCCGATTGATGAGGGTACATATATCTTAGTATAATTCATATAGTTGGGCTAAGAATTCAGATTGATAATGCATTTAGATCTGGCCCAGAGCAAACTTGGGTGGAGAGGGCCATGACTGGCAAATACGATTGATGAGAGGATAGTTTGTTAGTAGCACATTTAGTTGAAATGAAAGACATAATTTAAGTGTTTTGACAGTGAGTAAACAGTTGGCATATGTTCATGTGAAACACAATTGACATGATTAGATGCTCTTCTTTCTTTGTGACAATGCTGTTTATTCAATCACATCAAATACTTCCATCATTTTTATGCTCAATGGCTTTTTGAACTGCACATTGACTCATAAATCTGATATATCAAGTGGAACTAAGTTTCTCGTGATAATTATACAATATATACATCTGACAAGCATTTACATACACATATTTTAGTATTTTTGATGCAAGCAACTTTTAAAACTGCTTGAGACTGTTATCAGGAGCATTTGGATTCGATATACATAATAAATCACTGCATGTTTATATGAATCCACAGCTAAATGATTAC